GCCAGTTATAGTCCACTTCAACGAGGAAAGCGATAGCGACAGTTTATTACTGTCAGATGTAAGTGGAAGCGACGATGAATAAAGGTAATTCCCAAATTTTTGACTTACAATATGTTTCAATCCACTCTTTATTAAGCATGTGACAAATCTAGTTCACCCATGTTAAACATTCATACCCCGCCTATGAACAGCCGACTACTGGTAGTTAAGTGATGTTCACGTGAACATCGATGAGTCATTACAGTTTTAGATAGTTATAGTATAACATGGCTGATGCACCAGCGTGATAGTATGACGTTTCGCAACGCACCTCGCACCTATTGGTATCTCTTTTCATCGCGGAGCTATTTGGATCAGAACAACTTACCCCCGGCACTTTGAACCCCGCTTCCCTACGGACAACTGTCTATATTTCCTATGAGAGGGGGAGAGAAGGCCAGTAAAGACCACAACACGTAGGCCTCTTACGCTGTCCAAGAAAGGACGCTTACGATACCGTGGAGTTTCCCTTGTAAACGTTCCCCTATAGAAAATTCGAAAATAATAGTGAAACTGGCATCTTTCACTAATCTGAAAGGACTATTTCGATAATTTGAAGTTGGAGGAAGTTGACATTTTCTGTGTTGAGTGCTGTATCCGACCGCCCTTGCGCGCAGAGGTTCGGCCGTGACGTTACATGAGATAAGTTTGGCTTCTGACCAGTCACAATTTATTGTTTGTATCTTGGCATAGACTGCTGTGCGAGATTATAGGTATATAACAAATAAAATGGAAGTAAGTTTTTCTGAGTTCCGATTCGACTAATCTTCCAAAAGACTGCAAGCAAATTTTGCAGAACAAGTGCATGAGAATAATACTGAATGAAGTTGAATATACATACGAGTACCAATCAGACTAATCCTTATCAAATTAAAATGGCTCGATGTGAAAATTGAATTTCATTTATAAAGTAAAAAATAATATATTTTCACCATATGTAACTAAATTAACGTCATCAAATGCCGACTATCATTTACATATTACCCGAAATAAAGATGACTTCCATTTAATGCCCAAAAATTGTAACATATGCTACAAATTTTTATTGCATAAACGGTTGATTGAAAATAATAAATGAAATACAGAGATAAGGGACCAAAATATAAAGTAAAATTGAGAAATTACTTGTTTATACAATTTACTCGTTCTAGGTTGCCAAACGTGCCAGATAAATCTTTCTACTGCTATTACTAATAATGGTTAATAGCTAAATGCAAAACATTTATGCTTTGGCACGCATTAAAATTTATGATTAAGCACACACGCGATCGACGCCACAGTGGTTCAAAAGTCGTAAAACATGACTGTACTAGCAAGATATTGCAAAAATATCATTTTTAAGTTGATAATAAATATTTATCAAAAACCGAAATAGTTTAATATGGTTGCAGAAATATTTCGATTGAGCTCAAATTTAAGCTTTAGATGTTTTCAGGGTCGCTAATATCGTTTTAGAGGACTGGAGTACAATCGGAAACATACAGTAACAGTGATTTTGGACTTCAAAAGGGCGTTTGAGTCTATTGGCAGGGATAAATTACTTACAAAATTGCATCACTACGGATTTAAAGGATCTACAGGGTTATCCAAATTAAGTGTCCACCATTAGTAACTTTGTTATTAGTGAAAATACAAAGTTGTTTGAATTAGCAAACTAGTAGCATTTTTAACGCTGGTAAAAATGAGAAATAAAAAAAACAATTGAGAGTCGTTATTTTGATTTTTTTCAGTAAAATAACATTTTTTTAAATGGAAACCCCTGTATATTATATTTTTTTCTGTTAAAGCATCAAATTTTAAACAAAAAAGCTTACAATAACTTTTCTCCTAGGTTACAAATTGTTGAAGTTATGGCCTTCAATCTGAAACAATTAAATTGTATCGACAAACTTTATTTTCAACATCAACTTATAATCTTACAAAATACAATAACAATTTTTTTTAAAGAAGATGCTCGAAAACACCACCTTGTTCTTCAATACATTTTTGGGCACGTTTTTCAACTGCTCGAACTGTCTTAAGTATGGTCCTACCATCTATCTGGGTTATCTTTTCCCTAGCTGCAGTCTTTAACGCGTCAAGGTTATCGTACCTTCGCTTGTAAATTTGGTTCTTTAAGTAACCCCACAAGAAGTTATCAAGTGGGTTTAGATCTGGTGATCTGGGAGGCCACTGTATTGGGCCATTTGTTCCTATCCACTGATCATTAAAAGTAGTACTTAGAAAATGATAAGTACCTCTGGAGTTGTGGGCAGGTGCGCCATCTTGCTGAAAATGCAGATGATGTCTACTTATAAGATCCAATTCGTCTAAGAAATTAGTCAGAATTTCTGACATTAATTCCACATATCTTTCACCAGTTAGGGTTCCCTCATAAAAGAACGGGCCAACATTTTTTGAACCAATTATACCGCACCAAACGTTGAAACTGAAACGGACTTGTGGGCCTCTTGGATGTACTAACAAAAGATTTTCTCTTGACCAATAATGGTGGTTTTTTCTATTAAACATTCCAGAATTTGAAAAATTTGATTCATCTGTCCATAAAAGGTAGGTAACGAAAGTTATTTACATTTTGGCGACAGAAGCTAAGATACCAATGGCAAAAAACAAGTCTTCTCTCTGGATCCCCTGCCAAAAGCGTTTGAACTGGTCGGTACTTATACGGAATAAATTTGTATTTTTTTTGAACAGTACCATAACTGAAATTAGAGTCCTTGAGAATATCTGCTATTGAATTCTCACGATAAGCTTCAAAATATCCAATAACTGCAATTTCCGTGGCCTCGCTTATTATGAATTCTTTTTTTGCCCTTGTTTTAGCAAAAACATTTTCGTTGCCCCTAAATTTTCGATAAAGTCTCAGAAAATATCGTTCATACGGTTGAATGCGAGCGGGATATAATTCACTGTAGTATTCTCTTGCTCTCAAGGAGGATTTTTTGCACACTAAATAGCATTCTAACATATCACACTTTTCTTCATGGGAGAACATTTTTCTTTAAATTAATGACACAATAAAGCTTATAAACAAGTATTTACACTAATGTTTGACATTATTTGATTTTATCATTGTTTTCCAAAGCCTTCTAGTTGCGAGTATGTCCAGTTTAACAATTTGTCGCTTATCTTAATGCTGTCAAATCGCGAACGCCATGTTGTTTTCATAGCCGTCTTAATATTATAATACTGCAAATAATCAAAAATATTTATCGTTATTTTGACTTTATTTTTGACTTTAGCGGAAAAGTCATTATGCACTTTTTTGTTTAAAATTTAATGCTTTAACAGAAAAAAATATAATATACAGGGGTTTCCATTTAAAAAAATGTTATTTTACTGAAAAAAATCAAAAAACGACTCTCAATTGTTTTTTTTTATTTCTCATTTTTACCAGCGTTAAAAATGCTACTAGTTTGCTAATTTAAACAACTTTGTATTTTTACTAATAACAAAGTTACCAATGGCGGACACTTAATTTGGATAACCCTGTATATTCAAAATTCTACAAAACTATTTAATTGACAGAAGTAAAAAAAACAACATTTTCATCATTTTTATTATTTGATTTCATGGATAATGAAAATCCTTAGAGATGTAAATTTTGTTTTTTTTCTGAATGTATGTATGTTATGTAATTGTTTAGTTTTTTAGCAGAATACAATTGTAGCAATCATGCTGAATAAATCATAAACAAACAAACAAACAAACTTGATATCGGTTGTCCAAAAATCGAAACTGCGTTTGCGAAATAGCGGCTATGTTTGCAAAAAATGTTGGTGCCAGATCAATTTCTCGGTGATCCAGACTCCGACCAGCCAAAATGAGTGGCTTCCTGAAAGAACTTGCCCATTCACAGAAACCAGATGAGCACTAGTGCGCATTTTGTTATTCAGGGCGCAGTGTTATGTTTTGGAGTCATTTTCGGGTGACAAATCCCGAATGCAAGATTTGAGAACCCCCTCCCTGTCCATTGACCAATGACCAGAGACCTAGTTTCATTACCCTTTTTTTGCTGGTAAATCAGCTGTGATATTTTCCTTGGATTACGAGTGAATTTGCCAAACGTTATATTAGTGCTAGAAGCGCCAAACGTAGTCCCTTCCATGGGTTTGTTACAGCTCTGTCGGCCTTTTTTCGCGTCATCTTTTCCATGGCTCTTTATCTCTCCAAACCTCTTTACTGTATATCTCGTCTGAATTGCTTTGCCTTTTCCTTCTGAAAGGAGGTTTCCAAACTAATATCAAGAACATCGACTATCAACCATCCGTACCACCTTAATCTGCGTCTCTCATTTTCTTCTATCACTGATGTTCAAACCTCCATTCTTCGCTTTATTTCATCGTTTCTGATCTTCTGTAGCGGCGAAACTCCACAGCTTCTCCCGAAAGAAATCCATTTCTATCACCTCCGATCCATATAATATAATGCTTTGAACAATCGTCCCGTATAACATTAGCTTGATGTGTCTTTGTATATTATTTGATCACAATAAGGAGCTTAGTTGACTTGTAGCACGTCTTGCTTTACTAACCCGTTGTGATCCCTCCTTTGATATTTTGACTCCCAAGAATAATATACTCGTCAGATGCCTCTACTAATTTTACATCAATTTCCAAATTTTTTTCATCCGAATTTATCGTCAAATATTTAGTCTTCAGGTATTTGATTTTAAGGCCTGCTTCATCATAACTTTCGCATCATGTATTCAACATCGAATGAGTCACGCACCTACTGAACCATAAAACAGTAAATAAACAATAATGTTTATTTAAGCAAGCACATATGTGAAATGGTTGGATTCTGGTGATAAAGTACGTGTATATTGACAAAGCAGTCAAAACACAATCAATCCACTAAAAGATGTTGACAAAGTTGTTAAAACGAGACTAAACAAGTCACTAAAGACTTTTCGACCTTACGACATAAATACTTTACTGTTTTGTTTTTTATACTTGCAGTTACGAACTTGTCAGAAGGTCAAGAATATGATGTGCAAGTGGTGGCCCTATCCATAGATGACCAGCAAGCTGTCAGCGATAAAGTTCGTGCGGTTTTTCCGGGTTATAAGAGCTTAGGAGCTGTCTCAACTGGGGTAATAGTAGGCTTTGCATTCCTAGGAGCAACATTTGTTGTATTTTACTACATCAGAAGGAAGTGGTGTCAATCCTACCACCAGCCAAACATCAAGAATTAGACAAAAATACTTTTCTGCACATATTATATTTACAAAAAATTGTATATAGTACCATAAACTGTCAAATACAAGGGTCATTTTCTAGGTAAGAACCGTTGTTGTAATGGAGTCACAGAAACTTTATTTACGAATGAGATTGTACCACAAAATATGAACATTTTGTCATTTTTCGATTTGTCATGTCTTGGCACCAGCTTTTCGATCCCGGTATCAAAAAACACTACCGCCTGACCGTTAAACCAGTAGCTGTTTCTTTCAACATGTCATCGTTTTTCAAACGTCTTACACCAAGCAACTCTGTAAGTTTTGACGAAATATCAAAGTCTGATGGCACTAAGTCAGGGCTGTACGGTGGACGATCCAGCAATTCCCAATGAAACCTGTCCAGTCGCGTCTGTGTTCTTGCCGCAACGTGAGGCCGAGCGTTGTCGTGAAGCAGAACGACGCCTCTAGAGAGCAGGCCCGCTAGCGGTTTTGAATAGCAGAGCAGATGCCTAATTCAACAAGTCGCTGGTGACCCTCAGCAGAGGGAACTTTTTCGCGGCGGGTTTGCTGATTTACATGGCGACAAAGCAGTATAACCACGCAACCAACGCCGATAGAGACGTGACACGTAATGGCGGCGTAGTGAGGGAGTGTCTGAGGCAGAACGGACGTCACGTAACACGTTGCGAAATAGGTTCTTACATTAAAAATTGCCCTCGCAGGTATTTATAATACACATGTCTACAATGTACCTAGGCTAAACTTCGGATGTATTTATTATTAAATTAGCACCTATGTGTATGTTGTACAGGTTTGCTTGATTAAATGTGTATAAGCCTACTAAGTCTTTAGATATAGAAACCTGGAATATGATAATAAATGTTCATTCTAATCAATAGTACATTTTCCTTTTTTTTGTCACAGAATGACTCCTTGACGGGAATAGTATAATTTGATGCTCATGCAAAGAAGGAGCCCAAGTGCATATCCGGTCCTGATCAATGGTCAATCTTTACCTGGAAGCCATTCACTAGGGCTTGCTTTGGAATTTAGATTAGCTGCAAAGAAAAAACTGGGATTTTTGTATAGGGCTAGGAAGCACATTTACTTTTTAATATAGTTCATTTCACAGTGACTATCGGCATCACTTTTATACATTCATCTCTCTCACACAAACTTGTGCAATTTGCCTCTGGCAGCGGAGGTTTGTTTGTGTAAGCTCCGACATACGCTCTTTAGCTCTGTGTCGAAAATTTTCTCGCCAACCGCAGCGTACTAGTATCCCTAATCTATGCTTGTCGCTGTCAGTGTGACAACCCACTTCATATGACCGTACCATTTTGAGTTTACTTTGTTCTAGTTTGAAATATAGCAGTAGCTGAAGATACAACTAACGGATAATGTCGATAGTTTTTGCTAAAATCATTGGAGTGTGTTTAGAGGGTGAATCTTCATGCAAGTTCTAAAATATATAACGAAAACTTATTTGAATCAAAAGCGATACAATTTCAAACCTTTTGGCACTTGCGCATAAAAGCCAAACATGAGTCCAACAAGCCGAAGTATCGGTTGTCAACTCGGCAGAAGATTCGTAAAGCAACGTTCGTTTTAAAGAATCTAAAAAAAAATCTTAATTGAACCCATTCATCGATCCACAACTAATATATGGCTAAGGCAAGTGTGCTGACCTAAGAAGAAGCTGTGAAAAGAGCGGAGCTCCTCCAGACCAGGCGACAGGAAGAACACCCAGGTAGGTGCCAATCATAAATTGTTTTTGTGTGGCTCGGGTGTCGACTACTTTGTTCAATTTTAATTATATCGGCTATCCACGATTCAGAACTATGTGAGAACAGTGAATAAAAGCAATTGATTGACCAATTCATTTGTGCAAGAGCAGCTGCGCTTGAGATCTGTTTGACCAGTGTACAATTTTCCTATGGTCCTTCAGCTCTGCTCATGGTTTTGTTAGTTGATGCGATTACTTATTTCGTATATCGTTTCATCATGGGCTCAACCGGGATCCCTCAGCGTGTCGCGAAACGTGAAACGTGAACCTTCGGCGTCCGAATTCAAGGCAATCGAGCAGAGTATCGGCCATCCGAAATCACCAGTCATAGACACGCGAACTTTCAAGTTCTTAGAGGGATCCACAGCCAGCAACAACAGAATGAAGGTACTAAGGACCAGCAGCATTGGGCGTCGGCCCTAAGTTCCAGAACTCCCGAAAACCTCGACAATAGAAGCGGTTCAGCTAGGAGGGTGTGCTGCATCTTCAGCGGCACAACCAGTCTATCGTAGAAACTAGTGAAGCCGAAGAAAGACAAAAAGGTAGAAGACGAACGTTTTTTCAACGTTTCCCATGAATCTTTGGTGTGTGGTCGTGTTTCTGGCGACCCTATGGCCGCAGAGTCTTCCGCTGAGGCTTCATCAAGTCTTAACCAATAAGGGTTTCTACCCGGAGCCGTTGGGGGAAGCAAAATTAATAAGCCATTATCATACGTTTACTTTTAGCCATAATCTCAGCTTAATAGCTGATGTTATTAGACAGATAGAAGTTAGTTACAGTATTGTAGTAAACCGTTCTAATGAGATCAACCTCAAACCGGTACTAGAGGACCTATACAAAAAATATTAATAATGTAAAAATGGAATACTTAAAAGTATCACCTTATCATTCACACAGCAGAAGGCGTCGAGCAATTATTATCGGATTTAGCAGCATAATTAGGTATGTGACAGGAAATTTAGATCAAGATGACCTTACAGAAATCAACGATAAATTTCAATCATTAAAAGACAAGGAAAACGAACTTATAATAGCCATCAATAATCAAAAATCATTCGCTCAGCTCATTTCACAAAAATTTGAGAACGATATGAAAGTCATTCAAAACAATGTACAATTGCTATCAGAAACTGTCAAGACGTCAATTTATGATTACGAATATGAAAGTTCGATTTTTAGACTATTTATTCCTGTACGAGAAATTTTAGATTATCTCAGACTGATCCAAGGCACAATATCCTTATCACAGAAACAGATGACAAATGTACTTAGTTTTATTCTTAAGGAACTGGCCCATATTAAAAAAATTACCATTCTCATGTAAATACGAGGACGTTCTAAGAGTTTAAGGGGGGAGGAGTTATATCCATCATCACCCTGTATATTATATAATATTATAATTATTACCTGGTACTTGTATTTCTTACTAGCATTGTCGCTACGCTATGGAATCTTATCTCGCGCCTTGAAGTTCACATGTTAACATCCTCTGTATCAGCATATTAATTTCTGCTACATTTTACTAAATCCATGTGTGAGGAAATCTTGTCACTTCTTGTCTAACCGTCCTGTTTTACGCATCGTCGTGACAAGGTTACACAAAAGTCCTTTTGTACCGTTAATCGAAATAATTTTTTTTTTAAAAACAAGTATTTCGGTAGCAGTAATTTAACTTACATATCATATAACATCCAAAAAGGCAATATCTCATTTTCCAGTAGGCGTGGAAAGTAAAAGACGCTTAGTGAGGTACACCCAGTAGAGAAAGGGTATTAATCCCTACAAAATTTGTTTGAGAGTAGTGATTTGGCCATTTGCTGACATTTGTTCCTGAAGATCATCTTAAATGATTTTAAGCGGGACCACAATAGGCCCGCCACTCCTCACACCGTGAGATAAGCAACTAGTTGGTCCGAAAATCGTGTGCCCTAAGTAGACGGAGAGAATTGAGAATAATAATGATAATAATAAACATCTTTTTTGTTTGCAATATTATTACAGGAGGCGAGATTTAGATAATATATCTATTCTACCATCTAACCCCCTTAACAATACGAGATGTATAAAAAAATTGTTGAAAATCAATATCTGTTATAATATCTAAATAGGGATAGGAAACCACTAAGCAATACGATATATTTGAAAACAAGAAAGATTCACATAACTGCTTTCTCGCAGATTTATGTAATATAGCCTTATTTGTAAATAAAACTCTGAGTATAGCTTAGCGCTGAGAAATTAGATAGTTTAGGTGTACAACAATTTTTAAGTCATCATCCATTATAATACCTAGGTTCTTCGAATGATCCACGGTAACTAATTCGTTACCTTTTAAATGCAAGTCTATGTCCCTTTTTAAAGCATTCCTTTTTTGTTCTATATGCGAATACCAACATATTTGTCTTTAAAGGGTTCAAACGAAGATTATGACTATTACTAAACTTTTCAATTTGGGCAAGATCTTGATTAATTTTATTATTTACTGTTTGAAATGGGAGAATGAACGCTTTCTGCATTCTTCCGGCTATGATGGTTGCCGATGCTCGGCATACCAGTATGGATTTGATTGCAGAGAGCAGAATATTCCTGAAGAATATTCCTCATTCCTCCCAAGCATCATTGACCATAACTAGCAGATTGGCAGTGTGATCTGGCCAAACCCAGGGAGCTTTTTGAGGAGCTTCTGATACATTGTCCGGTTTTTTTCCTGATAGAAAAAGAACATAAACAATTACCTTACATTCAATAACGATGCACTAGTACAATGTACTGTGCAGCTATGCAATTGTAGATAATTGATCATACGTATAATTTCATGATGATGAATATAATATACTAAGTGACATATAAATCCGAACACCCAGTTTAAATGGTTTTATTTTAATAAAATTTTGTATAAGTACCTAATGAAGCATAATAAGTAAATGATAAAAATTTCAAAATGATTGCACTGCTTTAAAACCCTTTGACCTTTAATAATGTGTGGATGCACCCTGATGTGCTACGCATTCTCCAACGCGCCTAGGCCTGCTTCTGATCAGGTGTTCAATGTCCTCCTGTGGTATCTCATTCCAGGCAACCACCAACTCCTCTCGAAGTGCTTCTAGAGTCTGAGGAGGACGTTGCAAATTGAGCAATCTCCTACCCATCATATCCCACACGTGCTCAATTGGGGATAAGTCGGGAGATCTTGGTGGCCATGGTAACAATGTGACATCTTTATGTTGAAAGAAGTCTATTGTGACTCTTGCAACATGTGGTTGGGCATTATCTTGTTGGAAAGTTGGATCTGCCAGGGTGTCAAGATAGGGTAAAAGATGGGGTTCTAGAACTTCGTGGATATAACGCTGCGCGTTCATGTTACCTCTGATGAAGATTAAAGGTGGCCTGGTACCATAAGCTATAGCACCCCAAACCATAAATCCAACAGTGTGATGAATATGTCTTTCAACAAAAAACTGTGGATTCCTCCTTTCACCACGTCGCCTTCTAACCCTGGCACGACCATCGTGCATGCCCAACCAAAATCGAGACTCGTCACTAAAGACAATACTGTTCCATTCCTGATCCCAGAGTGACCGTTGTCTGCACCACTCAAGACGATTACGTCGGTGTTCTCGAGTTAAAGGGAGGACCCAGTGTGGTCGGTATGAAAACAAGCCAAAACTTCTCATTCGTCGGTAAACACTTCGCATGCCAATAGGTCTTCCGTGTTCTGCAAACCATTCATTTGCAATGGACCTGGTAGTGGAGAAACGGTCCCTTAAGGCCAATAATCTTAGGCGGCGATCTTCACAGTCTGTTGTTCTACGGCGGTGTCCAGTGCCCCTTGCTCTTTGCGTACGGCCTTCTCGAAGCCATGCCTGACAACACCTAACCACACTAACCACAGTGTATACACTTCTTTGCACTCTAACTGCAATTGCCCGAAAAGAAAGTCCAGCTTCCCGAAGTCCCACTATACGGCCCCTATCAAACTCACTAAGTTGACGAAATCGTACAGGTCTCGGTACTCTAGGCATCGTAACCGATCGTAAAGGATGTCAAGAACCAAAATCCGCCAACGTTGATTCTTTACTGCGGCTGAAATATTCATTTTTAGAGCGTTAG